GGGGGCGGCGCTCGGCCCGGCCGGGAGGAGACCCCCCCACCACCGCTAAAATCGCGGCCTCGGGGGCGTGTGAGGAGCCTCGTGCGGCGCTGAGAGGCCGCATCGTTGTTGTCACAGGTGGCGTTAGAACGGTTTAGTCTTTCGGACCTCGTTGGGAATGTTTCGTGAGTCGCTGACTTGGTTCTGCTGGTTTGGCAGGTCAGGATGGCATCAGACGAGGGAAAGCTCTTTGTCGGCGGGCTCAGTTTCGACACCAACGAGCAGTCGTTGGAGCAAGTCTTCTCTAAATACGGACAGATTTCGGAAGGTGAGACTGCAGAGCCAAGCCGGGCTGGCTTCCACTGGCTTGTTACATTCCCCAGGTGCTAATGTGTTGGGTTTTTTTTTCCATCCTTTCAACAGTCGTGGTGGTTAAAGACAGAGAGACTCAGAGATCCAGAGGTTTTGGGTTTGTTACTTTTGAAAACATCGATGATGCAAAGGATGCAATGATGGCCATGAACGGAAAGGTGAGGAGGCCCTGGGGCTGATTCTTTATTACCAAAAACATAAGAGAATCGGGGAGATGTGCTGTTTTTCAGTCTCTGTGGGAAAACAGATAAATGCCAGTGTTTTATGAAATGAAATTATACAGATGTAAATAAGATGGTTTCATGATGTTACAAATGTGTGTTTAGCAATTTATACCTGATACGAAAATCCTATGATTTTAACTGTATAACTGTAAAAGAGTGGAATTTTGTAGGAATTCTTGTTATAATAGGAATTATATCCAGTTTAAATACCAATTTATTTGTCTAATTGGCTTAGTCGTGGCAGGACATTGTGTAAGAATCAGTACATTCTAGTAGTGCTTGGCTGATGGTGAAGCTGTGTAACTCACTGCATATGTGCTTGGCTGTTTAGATATTTGACTTTTGCCTGGGCTGATTGTGGTTCTGTTCTAGTCCGTAGATGGGCGTCAGATCCGGGTGGACCAGGCTGGGAAATCCTCCGAGAACAGATCCCGTGGCTACAGAGGGGGGTCCTCGGGGGGCCGGGGCTTCTTCCGCGGGGGCCGAGGCCGGGGCCGCGGCTTCTCCAGAGGTGAGAGCGTGTGGGTGACCCGCAGGGCCTGGAGGGGGGGGGGGGGTGTCCCTTGTCAGACTGACTAAAAAAAACCCCGTGTCCCGTTCTTCCAAGGAGGTGGAGAGAGAGGCTATGGCGGCAGCAGATTTGATTCCAGAAGCGGAGGCTATAACGGCTCCAGAGACTACTATAATAGCAGGTGAGGCCCGTGCAGCGCCGGGGGCCGTGGGGGAGCTCTGCCAGCCCTGGTGGGTGTCACAGGAGGGGTTGAGCAGGTGTGAAGCAGGTGCTGTTTGTCCCGCAGGAGTCAAGGTGGCTATGGGGACAGGAACTCGGGAGGCTCCTACAGAGACAGCTACGACAGTTACGGTAAGTGCCGCTCCGAGCGGGAGCGCTGAGTCCGTGTGCTGTAGGAGCTCTGAACCTGCTGAGCCTGAGCCTGGAGTGGGGCAGGCTCAGGCTGTGGACGTGGTGGTGCCGGGAGATTCTAATTTAATGCATGTGCAGGAGTTGCTCGGATCTAAGGCAAAGCAAGTGTTAAAAAAGGTTGTTCTGGAGCCCAAACTCGGCTGCCCTTACGCTCTGACCCGCGGGTGGGGGATCTCACAGTAGCCAAGTAGCAGTAGCCTCGGAATAATGCAAGGGAGTAAAATGCTGGAACTTGTCTTTGCTTCAGTGCCTTTACAATTGTGCCTGCTTCTTGTCCTCAGCTACACACAACGAGTAAAAATCCTTCCTGACTCAAGATCGTCCTTCCAATGGCTGTATTTATAAAGATTTTTGGAGCTTCGCTGAAATATGGTTATTGTGTAGTACATCTACTTGTATTTTCACTTTTGTAGTATTATCAGTTCTGATCTTGTCAAACACAGCCTGGCAGCTTCTGAAATGAGATGGTCTGATTAGACTGTCTTGGAGAAAGCTCTGCTTTCAAGTGGTTTTAATCTTTTTTGAAAGCACTTCAGATTTTATTTTATCCTCCATGATGAGCCAAGGTGTTACTTTTTTTTTTTTTTTTTTAAAGTTGGGGCCCCAATTCAGTTTCTTTTGAGCTAGAAAGGACTTTGAACCGATGTTCACTGGAAGCTGAACAAGCTGTGGACTATTTTTTTTTTTTTTTCAAGTGCATTACCTTCGTCTTTTGTAACATTCCTTTAGTGTAGCAAGGTAGGAATGCGGCCTGGGTTCCGTTGGAAGGCAAACCACCTTGATATATCTAAAGAGAAACGTGCTTGTATGTTCAACCCGCATAACGGTATTTTTACTGTTGTAACGATGTAAATGACCCAGAACTAGACTTGCAAACTTACCATAAAGAGGTTCTTGAAAATGTTTATTTATATTGTCCTTTTTTACTGGAAGAAATATGCATATTCCATTGCTGTTGTATTTGAAGTGGTAAAGGATTCCTGTATACAGTTTTCTTTGGCTTTACGAAGCCTATTAAAAGACCGTCTGAAATGAACTCTGCTCCTGACATTTACATTTCATTGCACAACACAACCCTTGGAGACGAAGAACAATCTGGGAGCGAGAGGAGAAGATTAGGGATAGTGGCAGAGCCAGCCAGACGATTGACCAAGTGCTGGAATTAAATCCTAAAATCGGTCTTGACATGTGAATTGGCCAACAAATTTCACATAAAACGGTCAAACTTGTCTAGAGGCTGGAACTACAAACCTGAGGGTGTGCTAGGAGCGAAGTGCAGTCCGAATGTCAGGAAGGCCTAATGGATGTTTGCTCAAAACCTGCTGTAGCCTACACTGGGAAGCTGTAGAGAAGAGCCAGTGCTGTAGTCCCTGGGCTGTTCCCTGCGTGCCGAGCGCGTGTGTGATGTAGGGGAATGCCGGGCTTAGGTAGCTGTGTCATTGCTTACAAGTTCTAAGAATTCTTTGCTAGCAAATGGAAACTGCAGTGTCCTTGGAGAAAAGAAGTGTTGTGCCTCCAACAGAAACCTCTGAGACGAGAGCTGCTCTCTTGGCTAGTTCATATGTGGAAATAGTCCTGTAATTCGAGGTAACTCCTTTTGCTCATGTCCGCATCCTTCCTCTTGTTGAGAGCTCATTTGAAAGTCTAATGTACCTGTGAAATATTCCTTTTGACAATTTTGGTCAGCTGCTGGAAAAACGTTTAACCCATGCCGTATGCAACCTTTGGCTTGTGGCACACCTTGGGTTCCACAGATCAGAGTTGGGCATGCAGCCGTGTCTTGCTGTAGGTACGGAAGCAAGATGGGAACGAACTCCCTGACTCGATATGTGTTCATCTATTGAGACTCTTCCTAGACTTCATTAAGTTGCTCACTTTAATTGTAGCTTTCTTTGCCATCCTACTTGTTGCCATTAACTTTTTCCCATGGCCCACACTTCCTAAGCAGCCATGTCCAAGTGTTAACTCTCTGCTTAGGGATCCAATCCATGGGCTGGCTGAGCACGGGCAGCAGCCGGCCCGGAACAGTTTTCCCAGACTGTGCTTTGTGGTGTGATGGGTTCAGCGATGGCTTGTGAGACCCTCGTACGCTGTGAGCTGTGTGGGGGAGGTGGGGGACGTGCAGCCTCTGCCCGGCGTTCCTGTTAATGCCTCTCTGCTTTGGCAGGCTGAAGGGACCAGGGGCACGGCCCGGAGCCTGAGCGGATCCTGAGGGAGCAGAGCTGCGTTCCAGGGATGCCAGACTGAGTTTGCCAGCCAGGTAACGTCCCTTCTGTCCACCCTTTGCCCCACGAGCTTTTCCTGACCCAAAAGCTTCGGTGCGTCCCTGTTTCACAGCCTTGTGCTCTGAGTGGTCCAGGTGATCCTCTTTTGGGGGTCCCCATATCTTTATCCCCCTTCCAATTCTCTTTTATTTCATTTCAGCACCGAAACGCATCATAGAAGACCGAGAAGGACAGACCCTGAGTGCAGTGGGGAGATGAAGAGCCCAGAGCAGTGGTGGTGCTGATTTTTACATGGGTCAATTGAACAAGTCAGTTAAGCCAGAATAAAATACTGCAATGTGGAAAAAAAGACCCCAAATCTCTGTGGTACTTTTGTGGGAAACGCAAGAATGTTTGTTTTTTTTGGCAAGAAACTTAACCTGGTGCACAGCCTAGTTCAGAGCACAGAACACACCAGTGCTGTGGTGTTTGGGGCTCCAAGCAGATCGATGCCTCATCTTCGTGGAAAACGAGGTCTTGTTCTTGGTTAAATTCCAAAAATGTGGCAGCTCACTAATTAGTAGGATTTATCTTGGGAGAGGCTGACACTGTTTCGGGCAGGGTATGGCAGAGTGAGTGGTGAGGGCAGTGAGTTTCTGATGCTCTCAGCTGCTCCTGCCCGATTTTCTTGTGTTAACATTTGGTTGCTTCGTTCTGCCTTTTTCTCTCCCCTTTTTTTAATGGATAAAATTGGAATTTGGTGAGGTGGTAAGTGAGGTGCTCACTCATGAGCCCTGAGGACTCCTTACACATCATTTCCCAGTAATAAGAGCCCCAGAAGGATATTAAATATAACGAAAGCTCAAGAGCGTGTGGAATCTTTGCTGAGAAAAATGCAGTCAGGTGAAAGTTTAAATGAATTCAAGCTGAAAATACTTAGAAGTAATGCTTTGTAAGGCCTCCCTAAATGGGATGTTTCAGTGCAGCTAGGAATAATGGATACAAAAATAGAGCCTGGGTGGAGGTGCTGTTATTTTTGGCATTGCTAATTACAGCGCTGCAATAATGATGTGTTGCACAGATAGATGAGAGAATTGCTGGATCCAGGGGCTGGATGTAGAACCAGGTGGCATCCTTGGGAATTTGTTTGTGTGCCATGCGGCTGATGTGACATCTGGTGTGAGCCTGGCATTTTAACAAAAATGCCCTTTTAAAGTCCTGTGTGTCCGGGCAGCTTGAGCCCTTCCCTGAGGGAAATCTGGGAGCAGAGTGGTGGTGCAGGGCAGTGACAGAGCCCTGGTCAGCCTGGAGTGTCTGGAGGAACAAGACGGTGTTTAGAAATGCTCAAAACGCTCCTGTTTCCAGCAGTGTCCACCCCGGGATGGGAATGGCCCTCATGGTGGGGGAATGGTGACACTCAGGGGGAAATGGTGGTTCTGAGGGAGAGGGTCTTGCTGTGATAGAGAAATGGTGACTCTCAGGGCGAAAGGGTGGCCCTGAGGGGGAAATGATGGCTCTGGAGGGGCAATGACGGTCCCGAGGGAGGAAGGACGACCCTGAAGGGGAAATGGCTGCCCTGAGGGTCTTGCTGTGAGGGGGAAAGGGCGACCCCGAGGGACAACTGATGCCCTCAGGGGGGAATGGCGGCCATGAAGGAGGAAGGACGGCTCTGAGAGGAAAATGGCAGGTCTGAGGGAGGGGGTCTTGCTGTGAGGGGGAAATGGCGGCCCCGAGGGAGACATGACGGCCCTGAGCGGAGGAGGACGACCCTGAGGGGAAAATGGCGGCTCTGAGGACGGGGTCTTGCAGCGAGGGGGAAATGGCGGCCCCGCGGAGGTGGCGGCGGCCGTGAGGGGACAGGGATGATCCTGCGGGCAAAATGTCAGCCCTGCCGAGGCTCCGCGAGCGGGTCAGGGGCGGCCCGGAACGGCGGAGCCCCGGAACCCGCGAGCGGCTCCGCGGGGCCCGGGCGGTGCCTGCGCCGGGCGCACCGTCCCGGCGCCTTCCTGCGGCCGCCGCTCCCGCCCCGCTCCCGGCCTGGCCCGGCCATGCGGCCGCTCCTCATCCTCCTCATTCTCCTGCTGCCCCTCGGCCGCGCCGCCGCCCCCGGCCCGGCCAACAGCACGGAGGCGCCGCGGGCGGCCACGGGGAACGGGACGCGGCCGTCGCCGGAGACGCGGCGCCCGCCCGGGCCGGGGCTGCTGGCGGGGCCGGGGCTGCCGGTGCTGAGGCGGGCGGTGTATGTGCTGAGCGCGCTGTCGGCGCTGGCCGCGCTCTATTTCGTGCTGCGGGCGTTCCGGTGAGTGCGGGAGGGGCGGGTACCCCCGGCGGGGCTGTGTCCGTGTCCCTGCGGGTCCCGGTGTCCCCTGTCCCGGGGTTCTGCCCTGCTCGCCCCAGTCCTGGTTCCCCCTGGTCTGGGACGTGTCCCTGCTTGTCCTCTTGCCTGCCTCAGACCTCTCATAATCCCAGGTTTGTGCCCATTTTCCCTGGATCCCCCTTCCCTCCCTCCCTCTGCCATCCAGGGCTCTGCTCCCCTGTGCATCCCTTTGTTAGTGCATCCAAAACACTGCTGTTAATTACCCGGGGTAATTAGCAATGACAAACCACCTCCCATCGGTCCAGTTGGCTCTGCCCTTTGGCTCGGATCGGCCCCGTGTCCCTGCGGTGGGACAGCAGCTCCCTGTGCCCTCCCTGTCCCTCAGCCACAGGTCTGAGGGCCCCAGGAACGAGCCCCAAACCCGTTTCAGGTTGAAGAAGCCCCAGAAGAAGTACGGGCTGCTCTCGAGCCACGACGAGAACATCGAGCTGGGCTCCCTGGACAGCGACGAGGACACCGTGTTCGAGACGCGGAACCTGCGGCGGTGAGGGAGGGTTTGGTGTGTTCTGTGTGCTTTGTGTGTTTCTCTTCTCCTCACGAGGGGCTGAGGCGCCTTTCCTAAAGCCGTGGGAGCTTTGGCACGGCTCCTACAAACAGATCTGCATAAATTAAACGCCTGTGTGTGGTCTCTGTGTTGGCACACGGATTTATCTCGCTTTTCCCCGTTTTCTCACCCAGAAAGGTCTCACTGACAGGGATGTCCCTGGGTGATTTGGACACTGCTGTGGGGTCGCCAGGGCTGTTGGAGGGAGAGGCAGCCCTTGTGCCCAGTCTGAGCCTCCCCATGTTAGACAGGAAAACAAAAATTCCTGGTTTTTTTCAGCTTAGGAGCTGCTTCCAAATCATATCCCAGTTCAAACTCCCAGTCCCATTGGGACATCCGTTCCTGCTTTCCTAGAACCGTGCTTCCCACAGGTTTGATTTTGAGGGAGGGTCTTTTAAGCTGAGGAGGAGTGTCAGCTCAAGGAATGTCAGCTCAAGGAGTGTCAGCTCAAGGAATGTCACCTCAGCAGCTGCCCAGCCCTCAGCTCCCCCCCTTCACACTGTCCATGCTCCCCCTGATTTTTGGTGTCTCCTTTTTCCCCTGTTTTTGCAGATGACTCGGGACCAGCAGCACCACCTGCCCGGACTGACTGGGAGGGTCCAAGCCCAGTGGAATCTCCAGTGCTCAAGTTTTGTGTCTGCTTACAGTGACTATTAATTAACAGTTCAAACCCTTCCATGGCTGGGGCAGGGGAAAGGGGACCAAATCTGTTTTCTTCACATGCATTTTTGGGGACATTTCTGGGGAAAGGCAGAGCTGAGGTGCATTGGGAGCTGCTCACTGCACGGGGAGATGCTGAGCTGATGCTCCTGGATGATGCTCAGCACGTGAAATGCGAGCTCTGGGCCGTGCCCAGGGTGTTGGTGTTTCAGGGTGCTCATATCTCTCAGCCCTAGGGGTCAGCTGGAAGCATCAG